GTAGGTAGGGGATAGTTTTATTTGGGTGGGGGGGTGTCTGGGGGCTTGGGACCCCTAGTCACCTTGATTGGGGGGTGTGAATTTCTATTTAGGGCCCCCACCCGCCGCTCAGGGGTGGGGGCCGGTGGGGACAGTAGATCCCCCTTATTGTTTTTTTAGGGCCCCCACCCACCGCTCAGGGGTGGGGGCCAGGGGGGAGGACAGTAGGTCCCCCTTATTGTTTTTCAGGGCCTCCACCCACTGCTCAGGGGTGGGGGCCAGGGAGGGGGACAGTAGGTCCCCCCTTATTGTTTTTTTAGGGTCCCCACCCACTGCTCAGGGTTGGGGGCCATAGATGGGGACAGTAGTTCCCCCCTGATTGTTTTTTAGGGCCCCCACCCACCGCTCATGGGTGGGGACCAGGGAGGAGGACAGTAGGTGTCCCCCATTATTGTTTTTTAGGGCCCCCACCCACCGCTCAGGGGTGGAAGCCAGGGGGGAGGACAGTAGGTCCCCCTCTTATCCTTATTTAGGGCCCCCACCCACCGCACATGGTTGGGAGCGGGGGGTGGATAATAGGTCCCCCCATTGTGATTTATGGCCCCCACCCATCGCGCAGGGGTGGGGCTGGGGGAGGTGAGGAGAGTAGCCCCCCCCTCATTGTCATTTAGGGCCCCCACCCGTCGCCCATGGGTGGGGGCCGGAGGGGAGGACAATAGGTCCCCCCCAATTGTTATTTAGGGGGCTCCCACCCGCCGCGCAAGGGGGTGGCGGTTAGTAGTTTTTTTTGTTTGTTTTTTTAACAGTGACCAGCCACAGGCTGCTCACTGTTTAATAGACATTCCCCTACTCGCAGTATAGTGAGTAGGGGCTGAATTTACTAATACTAAGTAATCTTTACTTAGTATTAGTAAAATTGACTGAAAGACCAATTTAGGTCTTTCAGCCTTTTAGTAGATAACTCCCTAATACCGTGGGAATTAGGGAGTTATCTACAAAGTGGCTGCAAGATGCAGCAACAGCACAACAAAGTCCCAAATTGCATCCTAACACAAATGGAGAAACTGTTCTCATTCTGTTAGGATGCACTTCGGCAGTTTTGCCGGCGTTCTGTGTAAGTGACAGGACGTTCGGAAATACTGACAGGAAGCATCGTGGGAACAGGGAGGAAAGGTGAGAATTGTGGGAAAATTGCTCTGACCAGCGGAAATGAAGCACACTTTGCTCCTCCGCTGGTCAAAGCTGGTCAAGCGGAGGAAACCTCCATAAGGCAAACTTTGTCTTATGATTTTAAAGAAAACTAAGAAGACAGGAAGAAAAGAAGAACAGATCCTGAGAGAGGGGGAGAAGAGGAAGAGATTGAGGAAAGGTAAGTTCGGCATGACAGTGCCGCTTTAAGGGGTTAAACACTGGAAATTGAGGCCTAAGAATTTGTAGCAAAAAAGCATGCTTCTTGCATTTTGGTTAATTTGTTAGTCTGTGAGGATGTCTTTACATACTATTTAGAGTTTTTGTAATATTCTCATGAACGTAACATTAGATTTTACGGTTTATGTCCTTGAGTGTATATAAGTTCACAACATTTCAGTGCCCAAACTATGGAAGAATTTGGGACTATCTCATAGCAGCCAACAACAGGTACAAGACTGAATATCCTGATACTTGTTTGCTATGGGCACACTGGGCTAGTGGCACACGTGCTGAGCACAATTTTGCCCTAAATTAATAATTAAAATAATTTCTTAATTCACTCTATGTCACTGTTGCAGGTACATAGTTGTTTAATTAGATAGTACTCTAAGTTTCAAAAAGGTCCTCCACAGTTTAAACATTCTTTTTGTAAAATAGAAAAAATAAATTCCATTTAAAGTATCTGATCTGTATAGGTATTTACATTTACATTTAAAGGAAAATGCCAAGCATGATAACCACTACCACATGCTGCAGTGATTATGGTGCCAGGAGTGCCTAGTCAAACCATGTGCAAATGGCTTGAAAATGTGCCTAGAGTCCGCCTGGTGTCTGTGCATCTGAAAGTTCTCTATATTGGAGTGTTTATTTAACACATGTGCATAATCACTTTTCTGGGATCACTTCTTTTTGCTTATTTTGTGCAACTTTTTGGGACTGTAGTTTTTGTTTTTTTGATCACTAGTTCACTCTTTCATATACAGTTTCATCATATTCACCTTACTATCTTAAGTATATCTATTATACTATTCTTTATAAAGAAATATTTTTCCCCAAGTCCACGAGTTATTTTGTTTGTAGAATTACACAAATGTATGGCAAAGTTAATGCAACTCAAGTTTTGTGGCAAATCCCTTTGTTTCTTTGGTTTCAGTATGAGAAGTTTAAATATTGTAATGTTGTTGGAGACTGTTGCCTACATAAAACAATACATTTCTTGAAAGCAAAGCATTTATGCTGGTTCAAACTTGATCTAATTTAACTTGCATATCTTCATACCTAAGCCAAGATTTTGCGGCACGTCTGGGGAAATTGTAGCAATCTATATAGCTACTTTCAAATACACCACCCCAGGAACTTTAAAATGGGTTAAGTATGCACAAACTCTACAAAGTAAGCCTTTCCCTGAGGTTTGTCTTGACACTTCATCAAAGCAACTGAAAAATAAATCAGCTACTTTGACATGATCTTCCTGAACTTAATCCATGTTGTCTTGGATCTTGTAAGTCATTTGTCTTTGAATGTCTAACCATTGTTTTCTTTAACAGTGCTCTTAATTTCCACACTATAGACTCACTAACTTGTAATTATTTGTTTTCTCCTTACCTCACATTTCTCCAATCATGTGGATCAACTACTTTCAATAGGCACTGGTATAAAATGTCACTTAATGGTGTTGGAAGTATAAATATAAGCTTGTTTAATACTCTTGGATGCTAGCTGTCTGGTCCCAGTTACAAATTTACTTTAAATGTAGAGATTTAAAACAATCCTAGACCAGACCAGAGTTAGACCAGAGTTTCATCCTTGTTTTTACTTTTTAAAAAGTAACTAGGTATCCATAATCATCTAAACTCCTTCCAGAGCAATACTCTATATTTTTATTAAAGAACCAGATGTCCATTTTAGCGGTACCTAAAGTCTCTGATTATTTAAATGTGTGTAAGGATTTTAGGGTAGTCCAAAGGTAACTCTTTTGGTTTTGTTAATATATTTAGGCTGATGAATGCTAGAGCCATTGCTGTCCCCTAAGAGGAGTTGCAGTTTGAGTGCAGGTTTCATATCTGTGTCTTTTTTTATTTGCATTTGTATTACACAGCCATGTTACAGTGCAGTCGCCCACTTCACGTATGCCCAATGAGGGTTAATTAGCCTGTGGGGGTTCATAAAAATACAAATTTTTGCCTCATAAGAGATTTTGCCTTTTAGCTTTTAGCTGAAAGCAGCAAGGTGAATTGTTAGTGTAGGACTCTGCTGCAATAACCCATCACTGCCGGTGGCCCCCGGCGAACACCGGATGATCACTCTCCCCAGAGCGATCACTTCCGGGTTGCTCAACATGGAGCCCGTCAGTGAGGCAGAGCATTGGAACCCATCAGGCAGGCTCCCAATGCTCTGCCAGTACTGAGAGCCTCGAGGGGTCGAGGCACTCAGTAAATGTAAAATAAATAAAATTATAATAATTAAATACAATTTTTTTTTTAAATAACCCTCTACCCTCCCTTTGTACTTACTGATCGCTGCCGTTCCCCCCCCCCTGCAATCGAGGGGTCGAGGGATCGAGGCACTCAGTAAATGTAAAATAAAAAAAACTAATAATAATTAAATACAATTTTTTTTTAAAATAACCCTCTACCCTCCCTTTGTACTTACTGATCGCTGTTGTTCCCCCCCTGCAATCGGTGATCTCCAATTTAGGACCCCCAGGGGCCATGTGACCGCTCTAGGAGAGTGGCCACATGGCCCCTATAGGTGTCCACAGTGCTGCCAGCAGGGGGGTTGTCTGAACTGACAGGCAGTCCTCCTTGATGGTGAAAAAGTAAAAAAAAAGTTAAACATTTTTAAAATAAAAGGTAATACATTTAAACATAAATAAAAATATATATATATGTATAAATGAGATATATATATATATATATATATATATATATATATATATATTATATCCATATATACGTATATATGTATAGCTTCTATATAACGTCATACTAAGTGTATTTTTTATTAATATATGTATATATTAATATAAAAATACACTTAGAGTAAAATTACACATGTATATATATATATATATAATATATATAATAACTATATATATTGTGTATATATATATATATATATTATAAAAATTAAATAATAATTAAAAATAAATAAAAAACTGTAAAAATATATATTTTTAAATGATATATATATCTATGTAATTTTATTCTAATGGTATTTTGATATTAATATATATATATATATATATATATATATTTATATCAAAATACACTTAGTATGAAATTATATATATATGTATATATATATATATATATATATATATATATATATATATAAATAGCGAGGGCTTGCACTCCTGGTGTAATCCTGTGGTGCCCGGTGCAGGTCTGGCAAGGATCATGTAGACATAGCAGAAATGACCGCACTCCAAGGACTTTATAGAGATTTTCAAATAAAATGTAACTTTTATTCAATCCATTTAAAAAGTCAACGTTTCATCTCCCACATGGAGCGTTCATCAGGACAAAACATAAACATTTGTCCTGATGAAAGCTCCATGTGGGAGATGAAACGTTGACTTTTTAAATTGATTGAATAAAAGTTAAATTTTAATTGAAAATCTCTATAAAGTCCTTGGAGTGCGGTCATTTCTGCTATGTCTATATATATATATATATATATATATATCTAGTTCCAATTGCTTGCACTCCTGGATTAATAGTAAAAAGCCCGGTGCTTAACAGCCAAATAATAGAAATAAAGTAATGATAGCACTCCAAGGACTTCAAAAATATTGTGAAAAAACTTAGCTTTTATTCAGTCATCTGCCACAGAAGATCAACGTTTCAGTTCTCTAAGGAACTTTCGTCAGCCTACAGTGCAATACAAACAACAGTGTTTAAATAACCCACAAGTGCATTAACATAATCAATAAACTGTATACAGGCTGTACTCACAATTAACCCCTGGTCTGGTTTCAGCTGCTGTACGTGGATACGGAACAATTCCAACATCAATAATACCCACATCCAGCTACAACAAATGTGGGATAAGTTCAAAGCAAGGGGCTATAGCAACAAGATTCTACAAGCAGCTCTTGACAAGTGTTATGTAACGTCCACAACAGAACTTCCAAAAGAAGAGAGACTAGTCTTCCCATCCACGTACACCACCATGTCACATCACATTAAGAAATCACTAGACCGCAACTGGAGAATTATGAGAAACGATGACTCTCTACCCAAAGCATTCAAGGAAACACCTATGATGTGTTATCGCAGAGGCAGCAATCTAAGAGACCTGTTGGTGAAAACAGACCCCATCCACGGCTACAACCCACAATCACAACACCTCAACACTGGATGTTACAGATGCCTGGGCTGCGTGACCTGCAGCCACATGATACCGAGTAAGTCATTCACACATCCCCCCACAGGGAAAAAATTTGCTATTCAACATCGCTTGACATGCATGAGCGATTTTGTTATTTACAAATTGATGTGCCCCTGCGGACTGGCTTACATAGGGAAGACAGACCTCCCATTACGAGAAAGGATCCGTAACCATCGCTCCAGCATCCGGGTGGCTCTGACTTACCAGTGGCAAAACATTTTCTTGAATGCAATCATCCATTACCATCCATGAAAGTTTTGGCAATCGACCACATACCCTTACCAATACGCGGCGGTGACCGCAAAAATCTTCTACTACAGAAAGACCTTTACTGGATAAGAACCCTTGACACTGTATACCCAAAGGACTTAATGAAAAATATTCTCTGGGGATATTCCTATGATTTTTATTGAGACCCGTATTTTTACAATATATTGTGCCTTAATCATTTACTTTATGACATAATATATGCATTGTTGATCTGGCAGTATGTACTGGAGTGTATTAGTCACTTACTGTACTCAGGCCTTGATCATATAGTGTATCCCAGCCGGGGGGACTGCCGGAGACCCCAGCAGTCCCCCTGCAGAAGCTCCAGCCACCTCGGTCCTCCAGAGTGATGTGATCACCGTGACCACATCGCCGCAATAGGAGTCTGAACTGTCCCCCAGGCTGCTAAAAAGTAAAAAAAAAGTAAAAAAATATATATATTATATATATATATATACATATATATATATATATATATATGTATAATATATTATAAAATAAATAAAACATTTTATAATATATTATACATATATAATGCATATATATATATATATATATAATTTCAATATAAGTGTTCTTATATATGCATTATATATGTATAATATATTATAAAATGCTTTAATTATAATATATTAAACATATATAGGAAATAAAAGTGTGTGTGTGTGTGACATCATTAGGAGAGGCCGGCCGACTCCACTGGCTGCAGGAAGAGAGGTAAAGTGCTACAGAATCTGTTGGCGCTATATAAATGGCAATAAGAAGAAGAAGTTGGAAAATCCGAGTCCCCAGCAAGAGGCAGAGCCAGACCCAGAGGCAGGGGATTCAGATTTTTCCTTTTTTTGCTGGATGTGGGCGGCCCTGGATTTAGAGCAGCCTGGGGGGCAATTGCCGTCCTGCCCCCTGTCCCAGCCCGCCCCTGACCATATGGTCTCAAAAGGCAACACAGACCCAGCAAACCAATCTGGCAAACTGAATTTGGCAAGCTCTGTATTGACCCTGTAACTTTCCAAAACACCATAAAACCTGCACATGCGGGGTATTGTTATACTCGGGAGACTTCGCTGAACACAAATATGAGTGTTTACAACAGTAAAACCTATCACGACGATGAAATCACCAGTAAAAGTGAATTTTTTTGTGTTAAAAAATGCAAAAAAACAAATATGAAGGCTAACTTTGACAAGCTACTACAAAACTGGACATACCCTATTATGAATACTGTAGGTTGTCTACTTTTACAAATAGTAAGCCATGATGGGGTTCATTTTCATTCCTGGGCTGCCATATGGTCTCAAAGGCAACATAGGCCCAGCAAACCAATCTAGCAAATTTTAATGTGCAAACATGTAAAAGGGGAAAGCCCTACATTTGACCCCTGTAAGTTTGCAAAAACCCATAAAACCTGTACATTGGAGGCACTGTTGTACTTGAAAGATAGTGCTGAACACATTTTGGGGTGTTCTTTGTCAGTAACACATAACAGGAACTGAAAATCTATGACTAAAGTACAATATGAGAGAAAAATAACACAAAAAAATGACTACTCAAGTTTTACAAAGACTGGTGGTAGAATTAGTGCATGGCAAGTGTTGAAATACCACCATTTGAAATACCCTAGGGTGTCTACTTCTCAAAAATATATGGTGTGATGGGGGTAAATTACATTGTCCGGCTTAAAAAACTGTCCCAAATAGGACATGGGGGCATGATGACCAGCTGTGAAAATTCCATGTTGGAAAACTGGAATGTGCACCCTCCAAATATGGTCTTTTAGCCTCCAGAGAACCCAACACCCCTGTACATGTGTGGTAGCACTGTACTCAGGATATGTTACTGAACACATATTGTGGTGTTCTTTGTCAGTAACATATTACAGGAGCTGAGAATCCATGCCTAAAGTACAATGTGATAGAAAAATAACACAAAAAAATGACTACCCAAAAGTTTGACAAAGACTGGTGGTAGAATTAGTGCATGGAAAGTGTTAAAATGCCACCATTTGAAATACCCTAGGGTGTCTACTTTTCAAAAATATATGGTTTAATGGGGATAAATTACATTGGCCTGCTTCAAAAATGTCACAAATAGGACATGGGTGCATGATGACCAGCTGTGAAAATTCCAAGTTGGAAAACTGGAATGCACACCCTCCAAATAAGGTATTTTAGCCCCCAGAGAACCTGACACGTTATACATGGGGGGTATCACTGTACTCAGGAGATGTTGCTGAACACATATTGGGGTGTTCTTTGGCAGTAATACATAAAAGGAGCTGAGAACCCATGCCTAAAGTATAATGTGTGTGAAAATAACACAAGAAAATGACACATTTTGACAAAAATGACACACATATTGGGGTGTTCTTTGGAACAGATTGGTGGTGAAAAGATTCAAAGTGTAATACCTTAGGATGTCTTCTTTTAAAAAAGTATATATACATGTGAAGGGTTATTCAGGGATTCCTGACAGATATCAGTGTTACTAATTTTGAAAAAAAATGGTTTGGAAATAGCAAAGAAATAGCAAAGTGCTTGTAGCCCTTATAGCCCTATAACTTTCCAAAAAAAAGGTAAGAACATGTTAACACTGGGCATTTTTAAACTCAGGACAAAATGATGAAGATAATGGTATCTTTAGAAAGACAATTTAATGGCAAGAAAAACCGTATATAACATGTGTTGGTACAGTAAATGAGTAAGAGGACAATTACAGCTAAACACAAACACCGCAGATATGTAAAAAGAGTCCTGATCCTTAACAGTAAGAAAATTGAAAAACGGTCTGGTCACTAAGGGGTTATTGGTCATTTGAGTGGTATTTATATGTACATGAAGATTTTAGACAGTGCACAGTAACCTTTTTGATTTAACTATCAGATTAGGCCAATATATTATGTTTTTAATTACAATTTTTTCCTTTTATTAGCTGTCCTTTTTCCTGTACATTCTGGAGGATTAACAGAAAGTGGCACAACAATGAGACTAATAACAAGGAATTTAGTGGCATTTAAGAACTGCTAGCAGAACTGCTAGCATGTCGTGGGTATGATATTTATGAGACCATTTATTGTGTATGCCTGCTAAAACTGCATTATATAGCACATAACTTAGACAAAACCATTCAAAACACACATATAACTATAGATGACTAACTAGTGCCTTTCATATATGGGGAAACGGTGGGTGGAACATAGCTCTTAAGTTATCGTGAATATGTTAACATTTCTATTTCTTGTCTTGACCTTTCATATAGCTGTAAGAAAGAACAGTGTTTAATCATTGTTAAGGTCAAATGTTATTTTTCCTAAATATAGAGTTTATCTCTATATATTGCATTACCTGGATGCAATGGTTTCCGTGGTTCCTGAAAAAAAAGAGTAAAAGGAGTTTCCTATGAGGTATTCTATGATTGGTAGATAAATCACAATTTGACACTTACCAGTAAACCTTTCTGGAATTAGCTGGTAATGAGACTGCAGTCTTTTCTTAAATACTTTCTCTACTCACACTGGCTAGCATTGTGTTCCTCAATGAGGGTGTGTCTGTAGCAATGTTGTAACAATATACCAACATGATGAAACACATCTTTTTACATTCAGTTGTGCTTAAAAATAATTTGGGGGCATATCACAAACATGCTAATTGAAATTACCCTACAGACTTGGATGACTCAATCACATTTTTATACAATAAACTATGCAATACATTTCTTACATCGGATAATTGGGGACATTACAAGTCATGGGCCAATCAGAGTTACCCCCAAAAATCTAGCTCCCAATTTCTCAGTGAGAGTAAGAGAAGAAGGCTTAGTTATTATTTTACATAAAAATGAATAAAAATTATATAGGGACTTTTTTTTTCAAGTTTTAAAAAAAAAGCTTTTTAATAACGTTTTTAAAAAGTTTAAAAAATCCTACTCCCTTTACCCAGTGCTAATAAAAATTAACCCCTTCCATGCCAGTTGATCACTGCCTACAGTATTCAAAATACAGATCACAGTATTATACTGTGATCTGATTGTTTTTTTAACCTGTGAGGGTTAACTTTTATTTATTATTTACCCTCAGGGGTTCAATTTATTTAATTTATTCATCTAAATATTTTAAAATTATATAGTTTGCAAGCTGGGGTGGGTGGGAGTTATGGGAAATTGGGGGGTTTACTGATAGTTCGTGGCGAACCGTTCGGGGCAAACCGTTCGTGGCGAACCGTTCGCGAACCGTTCAGCGAACCGTTCAGGACATCACTATTGCTACACCTTGAACAAACTTGCAAAAAAATGATTCCACACTATGGTCCAAAATATGCCTTTTGAAATACCCCAGGGTGTACTCTTTAAAAAATAGTAGGGATAGACCGATATTGATTTTTTAGAAACGATACCGATATCGATAAACTGTGAACTTTCAGGCCAATAGCCGATAACTTACCAATATTCTGTACATTTACCATTTAAAAAAAATAAACTACACAAATCTACTGTTAACTGAACATGTTTATCATTTACTTTTTTGCAAATATTTTTTTTATTAGGGTAAATGCACAAAATATACATGCCAGTCAAATTTTTTTTTATGTTTTCAAGAATATATGTGTGTGTAGTGGATGCAGTGAGAATATTTGATTAGTGAATGCAGTGTATGTTTGTGCAGTGGATGCGCTGTGTTTGTTTGTGTAATGTGTGTGTAGTGGATGAAGTGTGTGTGTGTTTGTGTAGTGTGTGTGTAGTGGATGCAGTGTGTGTGTGTGTAGTGTGTATATAATGAATACAGAGTGTGTTTGTGTAGTGTGTTAAGTGAAATCAGTGTGTGTAGTGTGTGTATAGTGAATGCAGTGTTTGTTTGTTTTTTAAATTCTTTATTTTTGAAGTGCATAGAGGAATCATACGTATAACATATCAGTAAGAATTGCAACAAGGATATCAATTGACAGTAATTAGCATAAGTGTTATATCACTGCACTTTTTTTGAAGGTAGGTGCCAGGTGGGGGTGTGAGGGTTGGGGATAGCGATTCCCATAGGTTAGTATTTTACTGCAGTGAAGCTGAGGTGTAGCGGGGTAGTGTATGGTCATTATTGCATGAGAGTGCCCCGTATGGGGGACATTAAAGCTGTGTGGTGTAGCCATAGAGGTGAGGGGGATGAGCTCTGTCATGATGGTAAACTGGGTAGCGAGCCAGCTAAGGTGGTGTCCCCATAATGTGTCTGGTCGGTGTGGGCTGCTTGTGGTTAGTGGGTAATCGCAATAATGTTTGGGTGACCCCTTAGTCTAAGAGGCATTGAGGTAGTGGGAAAATATGTAATAGACATCACAGAATTGTGAGAAAAGGGAGAGGTGTGATCTAAAGTTTGCCTTGGGAAACAGTCCGTGGCCGTATATGGACATTTGGTGCTCATCTTGGTCGCTGACCCAGCTTTCAGGTCTCAGCTCTGCCGGGCGGGGTGGTCTGTGCAGTCCTAGGGACAAACTCACGGATTCCTGCCGGGTCCAAGCTAGCCAGGCTAGGCTCCCCATTCGCAGCTGTCGGCATAATACCCTGGGCTCTCATGAGATCCTCCAGCTCCCGATATGTGCCCGCTCGGTGTGTTCCACCTTTAAAGGTGAGCTGGATGGTGCGTGGTAGGCTCCACCTGTATTGGATGTCCCGGGTCTGGAGCACTTGTAAGAGGGGTCTCAGGGATCGTCGCCAGCTCAGTGTGTGTCTTGTTAGATCCGGAAAGACCAGCAGCATCGCTCCTTCAAAAGTTATCGGGGTCTTCCCCCGGATAGCCGCCAAAAGTGAGGACCTGTCCTGCAGGGATTGGAATCGGAGGATGAGATCAGGTGTCATGTCCTGCGGGGCCCCTTCTGGCCTGGGGAGGCAGAACATGCCATAAAGTTTCATGGCTTTGGCCTGTTTAGGCTGGAGGAAGTCTTCCATGAACCGCCGTATGAAATGAGGTAGGTCTGTAATCCCCTTTGATTCTGGTACTCCCCTTATCTTGAGGTTGTATCGCCTCCGGTGCTCTTCCAGTGCATTAATTCTGCTGTCGGTCTGCTGTAGTTTGTGCTGTAGGTTTTCCAGACCCTGTTCTACCGCAGTCAGCCTGGTGGTGTGATCGTTGTTGGAGATTTCTAGCTGAGTGAGCCTCGAGGTGTTGCTCTCGATCGGCTTTCTAAAATGTGCCATGTCTCCCTGTAGGTTTGCTCGGAGTTCTGCGAGCATCGCCTTTAATTGTGGTGTAGTGACCGGTTCTCTGTCCTCCGATATTGGGGGGGTAGGTCCCTTTTTTTGCTGGAAGTGGCCCCTTCCCTCAGTCCTGGGGAGGATTCCTCCGAGGAGCACGATGAGTCCTCATCCAGCAGCGCCATTTTATCCCACGTGGCCCTCTGCGAGCAGCGGAATAACTCGCCAATGTCATGGCTTATCAGGCTTTTATCAGCCTTTGGTCATTTGTTTTTGCGTCCCATGCTATCAGGCGTATAACAGTGGAGTTTGATTCCCCCTGTTTCTTCCAAATTTTCAAGTTTTAGGGCAATAGTTTGCAGAGCATGGGGAGAGTGCAAGTGCTCTGGTTCGCTGCTTGACTCCGCCCCCTCAGTGAATGCAGTGTTTTTGTGTAGTGTGTGTGTGTATATGATGAATACAGAGTGCGTGTATGTTTGTGTAGTGTGTATATAATGAATGCAGGGTGTGTGTGTGTGTGTATAGCGAATGCAGTGTGTGTGTCTTTGTGAAGGTATGTAATGTGTGTAAAATGGAGGGGGACATATTGCTGTACTCAGACGACATAGCTGGGCAACATATGAAGTATTTTGTAGCACACATAAGGTTTGCAAAATATACTGTGCAAACTCACTTTGTGTGTCAAAAAGACAGAAAATGCTTATTACAACTACACTTGGTACAAGCTAGTGGAAAAATGATCCCACGCTAAGGTTCAATATATGCCTTTTGAAATACCTTGGGATGTCTTCTTTAAGAAATGGTATTCCTTTATGTTGTAGTTGGAATATGTAGCCTGCTTAAGTGCTCCAAAGTGGGACACGGACGCATCAAAACCCTCCATGAAAAATTACACTTAAAAACCTGAACTGTCACATCTCTTTTACAGCACTGTTACTTCACAAAATAGTGTCTAGGTCATACATTGGGCATATTGTTTTACTCAAAAGATGTAACTGAGCGTAACTTGGGGGATTTTATGACAGTGGCACATATCAGGTGTAAGAAATACTCAGCAAACATGCAACATGTATGTAAAAATGCAATTTTTGTCCCCCTCACCACAAGCATTGGCATAAATTGGTGAAAAAAATGGTTACAAGTTAAGGCACAATATACGCCATATAAGTTGAGTAGTGATGTCCCAAACGGTTCGCCGAACGGTTCACCGAACGGTTTCGCCACGGTTCGTCACGAACGGTTCGCCACGGACTCCAGTCAGCAGACACATTCCAGACAATCAGCAGCAGACCCTCCCTCCAAGACCCTGCCACCTCCTGGACAGCTCACTAAGAATGCACCTGCAAAATGGATGCTGTCCAAGAGGTGGGAGGGTCTGGGAAGGAGGGTCTGCTGCTGATTGGCTGGAATGTGTCTGTTGACTGGAGTCTGCGGCGAACCGTTCACGGGGAACCGCGGTGAACCGTTCACGAACCGTTCGCGAACCGTTCGGGACATCACTAAAGATGGGGTGTCTGTTTATCAAATGGAAGCCCCTTGTGGGCTTATTTACACAGTTAAACTGCTGTAATACCCCAAAATGAGACATAGGCCTGTCAAATCCATCTATGAAAATTCTAACTATAGAAACTGAAATAGCATTGTCTCTTATATGGCATTGTAGCTTCACAGAATAGTGCCAAACACATACAATGGGGGTATTGTTATTCTCAGCAGATGTAGCTGAACACAATATGGGGTTCTGTGCAGGAATAGCACACACCAGCTTTACGATATACACATTACAAAAACCTTGTTATATGTGTATATGCCAAAATAGAGAAAAACACAATTTTACTCCAATATTTAGCACAGATTGGTGATGAAATGGCTATGTAAAAAGTGTCAAAATAACCTTAGGGTAAATAGCCTGTGATATCTACTTTATATAAATATATACTTTTCTGTGTGGTTGGTATTGGTTGATACCAAGTGAAAAAGCAGGTTTATTTTTTTTTTTATTAAACCTTTTCTCTATCTTTTTTATAGATATTTTTAATCTTTGCTGATTTCATTTATAACTTGTCCCTCTTTTTTATTTATATTTTTCTTTTTGCTGTTTTAATTTTAAAACTTTTTCCCTTTTTCTTGTGGGTGCTGCTTCTGAGCTAATTAGGGGGAGTGCCCCTTAATTTCCACCTGCGT